GAAACAAAAATATTCATTATACAAGCAAAGCATCTCGATAGGTTCGCTAGTTTCTTCTTGTATTCTGTAGACAGAATGGCTATTTTGCTTCCCAATATAGTAATTGGCGGCATCGCGATACAGTCACTTATTTCCCACACTTTTAAATCAGCTATAGATTATTACAGAGAAGAAAGGTGTAACAAAATAGTAACCAACACATCCCACTAACATTATAGTGGCGATATCTTTCCGAAGAACACTCGAAGTTCTAGTTTTCCGGATAATAATTAGCTAGTTTTGTGTGCATCTTTCTTTAAGGAAAGAAGTGGCGTTTCAACTTTTGTAAATTTCGTGACACTAGATCTTCGGACAATATACGAACCAGCTCTTTTTAGCAAAGCAACCTGTGGAAGGAGGTCCAGTTAAATTATATTGTAGTAGAGTACTAGCAACTATTCAAGAACGCAAAACCATACAGCTTGGACTCTTGATACCCTCTAGTAGATACGTAAGGAAAATTTCAGTTAAAATAACAGACAGCATCCTTCCGGGACGGTTTAAGTCCAACAGCTACCATGCCAAAGATGTAAGATAGATTCATTATATAGATGCTTCGTATCCAGAGGGGACCGTTAGCCAAAGGTGCACTCTGGTTCGAACAACTGCTGAAAGCATTTACTTTTCACATCCGTTGGTTTTCCGTCTTTTTATACCGTGATTTTGTCCTTCGTTCTTTTTGCCACTGGGACGACACCGGTGGACTGGAACAGCATATTTTCTCTTGTGTATCTGAGGGAATTCAAAAATTCCCCTCTCGAAGAAAAGTGCCATCCTCAAGCCATCAGTTGAACGGTGAGCTGAGTATTGCAGACCACCTTATGGGAGCAGGCTTCTCACTCGACGCACACAGTAATTGATATGTAACATATCCGACCACATGATCGTCGGTCACCTGGTACACAAGTTTTCTTAAGTTTGGGATGTTTCAGTTCATCAACACTAGTGTACTAGTCAGTTTCTGCGTTAGTCTGAAATTATGGTTACCTCGTCTACCTTGACAGCCGAGGAAACAGTTTTTCTGATCCGTTACCCAAAACTGTTATTCAAAGTGACAAATTGAAACTGAGTGAGAAATTGGATAAAACTGACCATGCTGCATTGAGAATTCCAAACAATTCGGTGAGGATATTCCTCTATTCATCCATAATAAAAAAGAGAACCAGCTTAATGTACTGACAGCTTATGCAATATACGTCCCAAATTATCCGTTGGACGTGAAGGAGAGTGGAGAACTTGGTCCTCGTGGTAATCAATGACCGAACTTTATTTAAGACCTTTCAGTTTATTTGGACCCATCCTCGCCGCTGGAGAGTTGCATGAGAATTTGTGGCAAGTTTGATCAATTTCACTTGGGTAACTCATATGTCGTATTGTCGGATTACCACTTAAAGAGGAGGATGAGCAGCGCTGTATCCTGTCCAAATGTGAATTAACCACAATGCTAATCAACTACCTGTGGCCAAACGCCACGTGATGAAATTACTAGCCAGGAGGTTGAGGGATTGAAACTCTCTGGATATTTTAGAGATACCCAAGGCTACTAATGAAATGGAACAGCTATTCAGTGCTTGTTGGCTTTCGACTATAGACTGGCCCGACTGACAGGACGAAATCTCAAATGAGAATTGTCAATTGATTTAAAACGAATGATGACTATCTAGGCGATTCACTAGTCCGGAGGGCGCAACAGATCCCTAGAATAAGCTTCCGTCCTCAGTAGAAGACTGACGGTCTCGTGATTGTCACGCATCATACTAGTAAGTGGTAGGTCGGTACCAGCAACGCCACTGTTTCTGGACTTCACTGTTTGTCACCATTAGCCAAGCTGAAACTAAAAACCTATAATGATGAGTGTCATTGTGATCATTTATTATTTTGTCAGTCCTACAATTAATATGTTCTGTGAGGTTACATTATTTCGTTTTCTATTTTTAGGAGTCATCATGCGGATACACCTTCTGTTTTGCTGTATCCTTATTGTGACCACTGTCATCGAATATTGCGCAGCTACCGGAGGTAAATTTTTAAATGGCCAATTTAAACGAGTGTTCTCTTCTGTGGTAAAAAGATGAGGATCGAATAAAGGTGGCTGAGAACTCTGGGACCGGCAACAACAGATAAGCTTCAAGGATATCCAGACCGATAGTGGGACGTCGTAAAGATTTCATTGGTCTTCCGAGTAATATTGGAAGAACGGAGTTGGTATTTTTACCTTCGTTTTGTTAATTCAACCATTCAATAAGCTGAAAAACAATAGATAGAACATGAATAGTTCTGTTTTAAATGTCCTCAGCTATTAGGTGAAACAAACCAGTCACTTTTGAATTGAAGAGGTAAGAGGATATGCGTTGAAAACGAAAATAACATACTCGTTTCGACTGGGGGATTTTCTTGCGTAGTAGCTTAACTAATACTAGTATTGGGTATGAGATCTTTATGGACTTGTGTATTTCTCCGCGTCACATGCCAGTGCAAGCCTTTATTAGAAACTCCTGACTCAAAATTTGCTGCAAGCTTCAGAAAGCTTCAATCACGGCACAACAGGTGAATAGTACTGAATCCGAAGAGCAAAGTTATGACTTTGTGACAGCTTTCTGTCTCTGAAAAAATCGCTCCAAAGCTGTGTGTTTGGACTTGGTGTACAATTATAGTGGAATCATCTCTCACATCGAATTACGGTGTTTTGAAATCTAAATCCAAGGAGGTCAAAGTTTGCGCTATTATACTATTACTTTTTTGCTAGATAGTTTTTGTTGTAAATATATATATATAGCTATGTCGATCTACGACACCACAATGTGCCGTGCTGCAACGCAAGAAGAAAAAACGCAAATGTGAAATGCCATCGATGCTTCAATACGGACGAATGGAAGATTCGTCATGGGTGCCAGTTTAAGAGGGTGTTACTAACGAGGTAGAACTGTCATTCAATTGCCTTCTTCCCGGAAGTTAAGCTGAAGCAGTTGATGATTACCAGAGAGCCCTTGTATTCTTGCGCGTGTGCCACACCATTTGTTGTTACTCAGGTTGCTGTTTCTGAACTTCGGCGCTGCCGGAGATATACCGCCGACGAGATAGAGGATAAATCTAAACTCGAGCAGGTAGTGCTGCCTAACAATTGTGCTGCGGTAGTATTACTGTTGTCCACCTCTGCAAATGACGACAAGCATTTTATTACTCTTTCGCTGTTTGTACCGGATATTGGTAGATTTTATGGACAACGGTGATCAAAACTGTGAATATATTTTGGCGGAATCAAGGAGAGCGGAAGTCTTACTTCTGTACAGTATGATTACGAGAGCAATAAAGCCTTACGAAGGCTGACCAATCAATCGTCTGCTTTTGCGTTGTCAAACATGAGCGACATCTTGAGGTGCTGTTCAAACCTCAAAGAAACTGTAAATTTGGCATAAAAGTAAAGTATCCTGAAACAAACTGGCCGTTGACAGCATACACTTGGTCTGATCAAATCTATGTGAGAAGTCAACAATTCTGTGGTAAGGGATTCGGTGTAGATTGGCTCTGAAAAGACGACAACCTGTGGAAGACCAACTAAGCACCATAAGCTGAAGTGAAATTTCCCAGTGGAGCTCGTCTCGTAGTAATTAAACGCCATCGCTGTGATAAATATCGTGCATATCTGTGAATGGGTCGTCAGTTGTGGAATGAAACAAGTCCAGGAAACTGGGGCAACTTTGTCCAACATTGCAGGAGCTTAAAAGAATGGAGCGATCGTCTTCATTATTTCCAAACCTTACCAAAAGAAAGTGCGTAGACAGTTCACCTCAATGACGTCGTCTAAAATAATGGGTTCTGAAATGATATTGTTAGTGAACCTCGACTGCTTGGATGTAGCGGGAACGGAGCTCGCCACCAACATAGTAAAATAGTAAAATTGAACGAGCCGCATCGGACAATATATTTTTGGAACTATATTGTGGTCGGGAGTTACCACGGATCTAATCGGTCGTTCAACGCAGGTTGTCTAACCTGAATCACTCTCTACCACTTAGTAAGGGAAGCTCTACCTCTAGTGTATCAAGCACATCCTGACAAGTAATCCCACTCCAACGCCTTAGGGAATCTGCCGGAGTTTCATACACTATCCGGCATAAAGTTTCTGGAAATTTTCATGTTTTCTTCTCTGAGAAGTTTAACCAGGCAGGGAAGTTGATCAGCCGATTGCCTAGCGAAGTCATAGTACTGTGAGTGAGACTGGTCACCAGATTAATTGACAGAAGCGTCTTGTTTGTATAATCATTGGCCAGAAATAACATATTCAAACGCAGTTGAAAGCGTGACGGTCGGCTTCAAAAACTGTCTGCTGCCTCTGGTTCACAGAAATCATTCCACTGGAAACTGCTTGCTAAATTGCAAAAATCAATCGGAACAACACAGTTTTGACTCAGTTTTCTTATTAAAAAGTTAGTCTGCCTAGCATTTCTCAGGTGTCCGTCCGTAAATTCCCTCTTGTTCCAACACCATTTTGATTGTTGAACACGTATTCGCATGCAGAATAAATGACAGTTAATGAGATGAGGTAAACATAGAACCAATAGCAGTTGTTGGCACATTTTGCGTTCTAATAACGACTTGTATGTTCAAAAGCTGGATGAGGACTCAGCTGACAACACGACTCAAGACAGTTTCATGAATTTAAGTTTGTATTCTTTCCAAATGATCCAATTTTGTCAAACACTTTTGAAAGAATACATTTTGATTAGAGGCCAGATAATAAAGGCTAACGTCAATCTGTCCTGCTAGACATGCTATTGCAAATCACATATATGTGGCACCGTTAAATGGAGAACAGTCGCTGTGGCAATGACCCGAGTTCGAATTCGCTCCAGAATCCAAATCACCCTTTTCAAGCGATACACATTTGATTTAGCTAGAGACATGTTCACTTTGAGGGGTTTTACTATGGAATTTATGATTCGTTTATTCCAAATCAACAGAATATCATCTCCCGTTTATTTTACACAGAGTGGTCCTACTCCGATGACTGGGTAAAAACGTATCCAAAATGTGCTGGTAACAACCAATCACCGATAGACCTGGTCGAAAACGAGGCGCAGTACAATTCAAGTTTAGGCCCTGTGAATATATTTCCTTTGACTGAGAGAAGTGCAGCCACTCTGGAATTCACTCTTTCCAATACGGAACATTCCGGTAGGCGGCTAATTCATTATTTTTCTGTCAGATACAGAAATACCCTCTCACTTATTGTAACAACCATTTTCTGTGTGTTCCGTGTACATGCAAAGCACGTGTCCAACTAAATAGCACGGATCATTGCTTTTATTGATGTGTTTCTGTGACATTATCGATTATCAACTTTACTAAGTGCATAAACACATCTGTGCAAGCAGTGTTTTCATTTCTAGACGACCAGGATGATAAAATGTTTACTATTTTTGTTCAGCCAAGATCTTCAGATCGTTTACTATTTTTATCTTTAAGCACAGATTACCATTCCAGCGGAGACTTTTGCGGTATCATTTGGAGACAGCACAGTCGCGGATTATGAAGTTTGCCAAATTCATTTTCACTGGGGTAGCAATATGGATTCTGGGTCGGAACACAAGATAAATGGCAAGAGCTATGTCTTGGAGGTACGTGCACTTTACTACATCTTTGATTTAAAGTCTCACACATTATGGCTTCGTGCTGTTATGATTGTACTGTTGCACAATTCACACGGTGGACTCGGTCTAGCAAAGGGGCTAATATCTCACTGGCGTACAACAGTGCAGACAGTTGAACTTTTGAACACACATATGCTCTACAGTCTGCCAACATATCTAGTGGTGGGAACGTGTAATCCTTCATTGCGTCACATTATTTGGTAGTCAACAGATCCACTGAATCCTCTTAGATCTCTGGTTGTGAAACGCTGCTCTTACATTTTTACATCCAGTTAGTTTAAAGGGACCAACCATACGAAGAGCACGGCCAACTAATGTTCATAGAGCATACTTTGTTGCAGTGTTCGTTTACTCTTACATTTTTACATCCAGGTAGTTAAAAGGGACCAACCATACGAAGAGCACGCCGAACTAATGTTCAGATATAGAGCATACTTTGTTGCAGTGTTCGTTTAGGAATGTGTGACGTTAACGAAATTGGCGATTGTTGCTGCGATTCTATTCAAATATCCAAAGAGAGCACGGGGACGGTGGCTGGTGTCTTTGCACTATTAAGTCAGCCAGTCTTACAAAAGGTGTCTGCAGCCCATTTTCAATTTCTTTGACCGGCTGATACTCGTATTGCGGTTTGTTAGAAGCGTCTTTGAGAAGTGATATCCTTGAAGGCACATATTTCAACATGTGGGGATGCATTTTAGTTGACGTCAAGCTAGTGCTGGGACTTATGAATTTTGCATCTTACAACAGATGACTAAAACAAGTGAGACACTTTAAACCTGATTTATGAAGGAGGCATAGCAACATCAAATCTTCTTTCTTTTATACAGACACATGTTGTTACTTACAAGAAACCCTACCGTAATTTCGAAACGGCACTCACAAAGAATGATGGCCTCGCCGTGCTCTCTTTTCTTCACAAACTGGACGATGGGGCACCGCCAAGTAAAAATCAAATAGGCATGCTTGGGAGCTTGGAAGCAAACCTTCAATTCATACGCAATGGTGGAAATAGGATCACAATGAACGGATTTGACTTGTCAAGAATGATGGTCCAAGTTGATCCCCAGTCATATTACAGGTACCACGGATCACTTACCACGCCACCTTGTACTGAGAATGTAATGTGGACGGTGTTTCGACAACCAGTTTCTGTATGGAACAGACAGGTACGTTCATGAAGAAATTACTGATCGCTGTTTCTTGAATTCTAAAATGTGGAATTTAAAGCTCTACTTTAATAGTTATGATCATGGTGACCTTACTTCCTATATCTGTTGCACCATTCAACACAAAATCAAGTGGGTGTTCAACAGTAATCCGTTTGACGAATACGTCCTGTAAACGTTACCAGATAAGGTTACTGACAAAAGGGTCAGTGTGCCCGGGCACTTCAAACGCCTCTCACCAGATACCCTATGTTATGGTATAAGAGGATGTAAGTCATAATGCTTAAAGGTCAGGGGCCACTACGCGTAAAAAACAAGCAATGACATTGATTGTTAGTGCTGGAAGGCTGAAGCATTCAATTGTAGAGCATGGTAGATAAAGCGGTACTTTTATCTTGAGATTGGAAAAAATGATGGATAGCAGTCTTCGGTAAGGATAAGATTATGAAGTAGCCTCGGTACCATGCAGTACAACGTACAGTCATCATCCCGATTGACTGCATCATATTCGTCACATCATTCTCATCATCATTATCACTAACGCTGTAAAAATACTGTCTATCAGAGCTTGACTGCTACCCAATTACGGCAAGAGGACGCAGTGGGAAGTAGGCAGGATATCAAGCCAAATATTCATATGTATCAATCAAAAAGGGCTAGGAAAAACTTGCTGGGGACAACAGTGAAGTATACACATCTGAGCTCCGTGTGAGAATAAGACGCTGTCGCCAAGATTGAGCCTGCATTTCTGGTGAACCTTATGGACGTAAGCCCAGTGCACAACGGCACAGCTGTAAACGTGGCAGATCCAACAACAAATGGTAACGCTACTGGGACAAGTTACGAGCCAAATCTTCTGAGCGTCCTAACTTGCTAACTCAAAGCAGAATTCTGCTTGATTTTAACCGCTTTTAATTTGCACCAACAAGTCATGGCCTGACCCCGAGAGCCTATACCGGCAAGCGTTTGAGATAGAAATCCATACCTTCTCTGATAGACGTTGGTTATTCATTCGTGGCACAATGAAACCGAACACTGGCACGTGAGATGCTCACTGCGGATGATTCCAAATAAGGACAGACAAGCTGTACATCGCTTCTCGACTTAATCTCCATCGGAGTTTCCACTTTTCCCTGGAGGTGTCTTTTGACTTTTGTCGTAGGCTTAAGTGCTTCTTGGTCCAGACCGTGTTGGTTAGACATATTAACATTCCGGTAGGCTGTTAAGGGGACCAGGAAACTGATACAGCATTGCGAACAGTTTGTAGTATTTGCAAGACTTACAGTTGACATTTACGCTCGAGATGTTTAGTTCCAAGGAATATTGTTTACAACGTAGCGCGGTAAAATGCCACTTCAAGGAAGTCAAATTTACAAGCTTCACCAACGCAATGAGGCTCACATTATGATATAAATATGTAGCTAGAGTTGAAGGAAATCCAGTGTCTGTGCACTGGATGTGTACTTTTTGGCGATAGCGTGAGTCGTAATGGTAGAAATTACGGTTTTTGTAAGGCCTTAGTTCAAACATGCAAAGCATTGATGGCCCCAAAAACGGATGAAAAGTATAAGCCCAACTGCGGCTGACTGCAGCGGGAACCGCGTTCACAACCATAAATTCTACATTCAAGCTGTGTCCCTGGAGGCCTCTCGCAAAAACCCTGTTGATGGATCCTCTAGCCGGTCCCGAACTTCATGTGCAGTATGTTGGCTACCCCATGTGCAACCCACCTGCTAACAAAATCCCAAGGGGATACAATATTTTTCAACTTGCCCAGTTTTTCTTGTTCAATTTCAAAACCAAACGAATAAACATATGAACACAACACTTCATGAACCGATGACCTTTGCCACCAGGAAGGCCGTACCCACCTGCTGTAATATAATGTTGTGACTGTGCATTTGAACAAAACGAGATAGCCCTTAGAACCAGAACATAGGTGTTTCCAGGATGGGGGCTTGGAGTATGAGTAGTGCGTAAAAAGAGCCCCAATTGCGACTGGAGTTCTAACCGGACCATATTAGTGACCTGGTATAAATTTGTAAAACACTAATTACAATTATCTCAGAAGCACTATCTATTAAGTGACAGATGGTGTTGTAAGGCGGGCCTCGCTGTTCGGAAGCTGGTTAATGTCCTATAAACCCATTAAAGCGAAATCTTTTTGAACAAAAATTCCAACAATATAAGAATAGTCAGCTACTACGGTGTTGCCCTTAATACCTCACCAGTTACACAGGGTCCGCAAAAGCATTATATCAAGTCACTAAATCCGACCGGTTCGTGAATGTGAGACCATATGCACTACACCATCATCCGAATATGTGGACCTCCCCTTATCACCCAGGAACCCTAACCGACTAGTCATATTGCACCTAGAATTCTCCTTGTTTTATCGTTAATCCCTCCTGAGCTCACAAACTTGCAAAAGTTTTACTCCAGGTGTGAAAGTCACACTACTTAAAACCAAACAGTAGTTCAGTTATCCAGTGTAACTTTTGGTAATTCATTGAGATTCTTAACGTATGTGATGGTCTTGTCTAATACATCTTACTGAATCGTATCTATCTTTAATTCATTATTTTCCCAAACATTCCAAAGCTGATGCTCTTTCGGAAATTACGGTTTCACGATGGAGTCCCAATGTTGAGGAACTTTCGTTCTGTACAACCAGTAAACAAAGGCAAACGCAAAGTACTGCGTTCATGGTTAAATTCATCCACGAATTGTGGCACTGTTATCACTTCCTGTACTCCGTTGCTGTGCATTCCTCTCCTGTGTTTCATTGTACTGATTTGAACAAAAACTATGCTTCAGATGAATGATGTCTTACGTGAAATGACCTGCAAACTAATTTGAAGACTGCAAGAGAGAGAGAATAGCCTGGTAACCGCAACATAACTTTGAGGACGGCAGTCCAACTTTGAATCCTAAAGTGCTATCCCGTCATGGGGGGTATAGGCAACGCATCTCCGAAATATATTTCTGAATAATCAGCACTCGCAAGTCATTTAGATAAAGTTAGTTTAGGCACTGTTCAGCATCAACCATAGAGCATTTGTTAGCTATACTCTAGGAAATCTAGATTATTGTCACAAGAATGCGGAAAACAGTGTGGATCTTGGATGGGCGGTGAATTCAATACATGTTCTTTCAGATAGATCAGGCATAAGTTATGAGAGACCTTAAAATTGTTTGAATAGGAAATGTTGGAATGGTGTGCACTGTATAGCACACACTTAACACCATGTGTCAAAACTGTGGACAATTTTACCGTAAACAAAAACCGCCCATATCCATCTGATTCAAAGAATGTTACGGATTTGTTATGCTACATAAGTAGCAGCCTTCAACAAGGTTTTTGCGGAATAGTGTGACTGTCAAAAGTCCCTCGTGTGAGCCGTAAATATTCACGTATTATTCGCTAATCAGGACCGTTCATGAACACGAGTGGAAGTTGTCTTCTATAGAAATGGGAATATCACTGAAATATCTAACTTCAGTTGGCAACTAGATAAATTTAACATCAACTCGGCGCGTTTAAAGAATGCTCTTTTTGTGTTATCTCTTTACTTTCACCCTACGTAGAATATAAGTACCACACAATCGGCAACAGAAACGAGATATTATCGGGCTTTATTGGTTTCGTGGCACCTAGCTATCAGAACGGTATAATTTGCGATTCTGTCAGTAGGTTTCCCGGGGTTGTCCCCTGTTTATCTTTAATAGAGTTGTTTCCTCGATTACCCTCAGATTTGTTATCGTGCGAAGAGTACCAACTCTTATAAAAATGTAAGCACAAATTCCTTGGAATGTCAATCAGACATAATTGTCGCCTGTCCGGCGCCCAGCACTCAAACTCCACCCAGAGAGACGATAATTAGCCTCCAGTTTGCACAACTGTTTCGAGTATGTGCACCATAATCGACCGTGAACTAGTGCAACTGGTTCAAGTTTTCGGCAACTTGGCACCAATTCATACTTGAAGTTTCGGCACAATCGCTCAGTGTTCATTTAGAGCATGGGCCTACTTGATAACTCGTTAGAAAATGCAGCTGGTGGATCACCCCAGAAATGTGGTCAAGCAGGATTTGTCTACAACAAGATTGTACAGAAAACACTGAAGTTGGTGAGTACGACACAACTTGGAATAATGTTCTGGGATAGGATAATCCACTCTGTGTTTACTGGCATTATTGTGGGGTGCGCAAACTCAAATGCACATGATCAATGCTTGGGGATTAAGTAAGCGGGAGTTGAAAAGTCATATGACTTTTGAATCCATGAATTTCGCATTCATCAATTTCTCGGTGAACTTGTTCCTGCTAAGAAAGTAGAACTTGCAAAAAATGCCAAAACTTTCGGGTTTCTCAGGGTCGCATGCTACCCTTACTATCCTCCTGACTGTTTTGTGCTCATAGACGAACTCTTTTACAAGTGAGCTACTATTTACTGGCAGCTTTGTTGTAAAGACAAGTTATTGTTTGCAACCATATTTCGTTTGCGAACCATCCCGTTTCTACTTAACAGAACCCCCGAACTTTCACTGAAAAGTGGGCATGTGATAGAGTGATGTTGAAATCTGGCCTGTTCACGCCAGCCAGAACAATTAATTTAGATATTTTTTTAAGGATTTTCAGTGGCTGTCATATTTTTTCCTGGATCAAAAGTCAGCGCCAAACTGCAGCAATTCCGACCGAGACAAAGCTCACACACATGCGGTTGAACTCATTCTCTCATGCAGGAATTTCTCTCTTGTCGACCAAAAAGTGTTCAGACTGCCACCATTAATCTTTCCGTGGTCGTAGAATTTGCAATTAAGTCATTACGAAGTATTCGAATTGTTTCTTTTCCTGACTCAGTGTGTTAGGATACCGTAACAGTGAATGTTTACGTGCATTTAGTCGTGACACTTGTCCCTTTACTGTTCCGCTTACTTCTGGGTCCATTCATTTGATTTGTTGCTGACCCATTTTTATCTGGGTACCTTGTTGCACGCT